CTGGTGCGAACGTTATTACCAAACGCAATGGCGGGGTTTTCCAAAAACATTTTCAAAACGCCGCCACGCACAATAAGCTGCCCCAAACGGGCCTTAAGACATGAATTGAATGATATTCAAAGATAGATACTGCAACGGATATATATAGATATATATATGGCGTTTTCAAAACGCCGTCGTGCACAATAAGCTGCCCCAAACGGTCCCAGAGCCTTGCCAAGCTCGAGCTCAGCTTATTTGGCAAACTGTGAGCTTGCGCTCAAGCTCGAATTGCAAGCTCAAGTCGAGTTCGAATGATGATTTTTGAGATTATTGAGTGTACATATGCCTTTAGAGTCATAAAGTTTTGAGCTTTTTTAGTGTGTTTATGTTGTTTGAAGCTTATTCTTCTAAAATTGAAATTTTATATACATGTAGATTGTGAAACATATAACTTTTTAAATTATTTTTTTATACATGTTCATTCTAATTTTTGTCTTCTATGATTTTTGATATACATGTATCTTCAGAGACTTTTAAATTTCTAAGATTTTTTAGATACAACTTTTGAGTGTATGGGTCTCTTTTGAGGCTTTAATCATCTGAGATTTTTGAGTGGAGGCATGTCAACTACTTGTTCTCATGGAGTTTTTTAATTGGGAACCGTATCCATTAGTAGCTTTTCATTGAAACTTCCTCATAGACATGTCATCTAGATGTATGAATGCAAATCATGTATGTTACTTGCTCTCATAAGAACTTTTTAGGGAAGACCATATCCACTGCTAGCTTTTCATTGACCTTCCTCTTGAGCATATCTTCTAGGATTTTCATAAGAGGTAAGGGTGTGCATGAATGGCATGCATTGTCTTGATAAGCGACGATGAGAATTGATGCCATCCAATATGTTGGTAGACATCAACTTTGATGTTAACATTGAACAAGGTTAGTGACGAGTCAATGATTAGAAAGTCATAGAACATAACTATTATCCAGTGACTATAGTTGGATATCGATGTCAGGTAGTCGTAGTTAAGCAAATGTAGTTAAAGTGATTAGATTTAACTGACTCAAGTTAGAAACATATGGCGATAGTATGATAATGATAGATAGGCAACAATGGCCCTATAATGACAGTTGGATGGAGGCGATCTAATATTGATGGATGGGCAACAACGAAATTCAATTGGTAGTAATTTGATGATGTGACAATTTGACAACATCAGCTCGGTGGCGGTGTAATGGTAGTTGCTCAACGGTGATCTAACAATAGTGGATAAATGAAGCTCATAAATCCTTCAAGCATAAAAAATTACCTAAGTCCCTCTTTTAGGTGGATATCTCCCTTGATAGAGAGTATAATCAAATGTTAGGCTGGCTTTTAAGGGTAAGATAAAAATTAATAAAAAAAAAATGCATGATGGTTTTCTATTATACCTGAGACTTCTAGCAAATATGGCAATAAAAAAAAATGAATGAATGAATGACAAAAAGGTTATCTTACATACATCATTCATATGGCATTACATAAATGACATTAAAGTTCACAGTAAGAGTAGACCCCAATTCTAAAATCATTTCACCCAGGTAGTGTCAAATTGTTGTGGATAGAAAATTTGTAAGGTTGAGTAATAAATTAATTTTTTTAGCATCTCATGAAAATCAAACCCATACAAATAAAAGAATTGTTGAAAGAGGAGACACCGGATTTTTTAATTGAAAATTTTTAAAAGGGGAAAAAATCATAGGGTATTATCTATGTCAAATAATCCACTATATATTTTTAGTTATAAAGTTTCACCCATCTCTTTAAGTGAAGAAGATCGAATTGCAAAGTTTTGACTAAGTTATAAAAAGTAGCCAACAACATTCATGGAATAATAACCGAGCTATGACAAAATCAAAGACACAAATAAATGAAATGTTAAAAGTGGAGAACCTAGAGGTTTTATGATAAAAATTAAAAAGGGAAAAAAACACAGGGTCTAGCAATCCACTATCTATTTCAAGTTATAGAGTCTCACTCTTCTTTTTAAATGAAGAAGTTGAAATTGCAGAGCTCTGATTGAGTTATAAAGAGTAGGCAACAACTAGGGAATAATAAGTGAGCTATGACTGCTGCAAGACAACAATTTGGTTGTGACAACAATAAGGAAATAGTTAAGCAACAAAAGCCACTAATGATGGTTGACAAAGATTGTCGTTGTTTGCTAGCTTCATTCTTTCTTCTAGAGTATGAATTTAGTTCTTAGTTTTTTCCCATTCCATGTTAAAAATGAGATACTACTTTTAGTTTTAAGAGTTTTTTTTGGTAAATTTAGCCAAAAATCTATGACACTTCATTGGATTGCCCGTGTTAATTCTCCTAAAACTTGCCAAATTCGATGATCAATTGTCATTTTAACCATTACTTCCATTCTTCCAATTAATACTTCAAGTGCTCAATCCAAAAGGTTGTCTGGGCTCAAATTGAATCGCTTTTAGTGTTGTTACATTCGTGTCACAGTAATATTCATTTTAACTATAGATTTCTAAAATCAGAGCTTAAATCACCATGAATTTAATTGGATTTTAATTTGTCTCATCAACTAGATTTTGTGGTGACATCACAACTAAAAAAATCATTTTTCCTATGGGATTGAAATCCTCCAAGTAGGTCTATATTTCAACAAATTAATCATAATTAATAGTTTTAATTTTCATATAAATGCCAGCCACCAGCAGCTTTCCATGACTGGCATAATTGTTACATCTCACATTTGTTCACCAGGGCTGTTATAATCTAACTTTTTTGATATTTCAATGAATTTGAACATATGAATAAAAAAAATATTTTAATTCATTCAGAGGGTGAAATATATAAAAAGAATATAAGATTTTTTAATTGATCCACATAAATCATAAATACAAAAAATGATTCAGATAAATATTATATTTAAAATATAAATATATCACCTCTTTGCTTAGAACTTCAAGAAAAACTTAATAGCCAACTTAAAACTTATATCTTATTCATCCTAAAAAAAATTCAGCGATTTTAAATATTATCTGAATTTAAGCAGAAAGCAAATTGAGTCAATATAGTCTCAGCTAATCTTATTTAAAATAGGCTTAAAATTTTAGAAAATATGATGTGTGCAAGAAAATTCAAGGGCAGTAGAGTAGCAGATTATCGTTTTAGTGTGATGCGAAGATTAAACATGCATTCGAAAAAGAAAAAACAATTAATAATGACACCAGAAGTTTTTACGTGAAAAACTCGGAAAGGGAGAAGTCATGGGGTCTGACTCAACTGAAGAGTTCCACTATAAAAAGTTTATTACAGTTGGAATCACTTATCTCACAGGTAGAAAATGGTTACTAGGTTTCCCAAGTTACAAAGTCAACGAGAGAACCAATTCTGATTAGCGACCTCTGGTTGGTGGTGGTTGACGGTAGTTTGTGGTGATCGATGACTACCGATGGAGATTGGTGGTGGTCGACGACGATCGGGGGTGGACGGCGGCAGTCGTCGACGACGGTTGGTGGTCGTTGACAATTTGGTTTTTTGGTCCGTCGATTTGGATTTTTGGACGACAGTAATCTTTCAGTCGACTAGTGTTTAGCTAGCAGGAAGAGAGTTGGTTGGTCAGTGCATGAGTTGGTTGGCGGGATGATTTTCATGCAGCTAAGGAGTTTTAGCCGACAGATTTTTGCACGGAGATATTTTGCAAGGTTCGCAGTTAGATAGTTTTCTGCCAGTTTGTGGGATTTGGATCTGAAGATCGACGAGTGGGATATGGATCTGGCGACCAATGGGATTTCACATTGCGGATTTTGGTCAGTGGGATGATTTTCATGCGATAGGGAGTTTTGCACGACAAAAGTTGTTTCGACCAGCACTATGAGGAGTTTTGGCTGTTGCCAATTCCAACTATTAGTTTCTGAATGTGGTTTTCACATACGAGTCAAAGCCTCTCGGAAAACGACGAAAACGAGATTTTCAAGCTCCTAAGTTTACTACTGCATCGTTTGCCCTTGTGCGTAGGGGTGTCAAAAATTGATCAAACACACCAACACGACTAGAACTCAACTCCAAAATTCAGGTTAGAGTTGACCCTAACATTTTTCAAGTCGGGTTCTAGTTAGAGAATTTGACCTGCTTATTATTTGGATTGTACCCGAAAACCCAAACATGACCCGAATAAACACAAAAGTTCATATAGGGTTCTGGTTAGCGCGTCAAGCTCAGTATTTGAGTCGGGTTCGGATTGACCATATTCGAATCGGATCATTTTCGGGTTGGACCCGAACCTGACCCGCTAACCCAAATTGACACCCCTACTTGTACGATCTCTGTTATGAGTGTTTGTGAAGAGTTTTTCCTCGGTGTTGCTCATCTTCTTATTGACGGAATATCCACGCTCACCACAACATATGTTGAGTTTAAATTTATCATGCAAGCATGCCGAAGAAACAGAACATAGAGAGTAGAGAGAGAGAGTGAGTGGTGAGAGAGAAGAGTGGAGTGGTAGTACAAAAGAATAAAAGTATAAATTACATGCTTGCCCTTGGGAGCTATCTTCATTGGCACCTCTTCATGCCTTTGGCATCTAATCGTAGAAATGCACCTTTTCCGTATATCAGGTATTTTGGGCACACATAATTCATTTTTTTTCTCTCGGAATATCCAACCAAATATTTTTTTTTCATAATACCATTATAAAATAATATAGAGAAACTTATATAAACACCACACAATACTTATGTATTTATATATCTAACACCTAAACTACAACACTTAAATTTTAACAACAACTCCTAAATGCAAATGTTAAAGGTAAGGATATTTATTTCTATAGCACTAGTGTTCTAATTTTATACATAAAAAGTGTATTTTATTTTAAAAAAATTGATAATGTGATGCAAAAATTCAAATGTTAAGCATGTCCTAGATATGTAAATATGTAAAATTTATGTGGCATTCAAATAAATGCACTAAAAATATATTTTAATTCTCCTTCTCCACCACACACTCCATCCTCAACCATCCTTCACCGTCCACCTTTCCCCCTTCCCAAAAGTTATGGCCAGCCCCCATTTCAGCTCCCCCTTTCGCCCTCCCTTCTAAATCTATATATATATCCTTCATCACCACCACTCCCTCATCTCAATCTCTCATCTCATTCTCAGCTCCATGGTATTTTTCCACACCGCACTCTCTCCCTCTCTAACTCTTAATTTCTCCATACCTTTCTCATCTCTTCTAACTTATTCTCATGGCTACAGGATTCCACTTCCAGTCTGGAGAGCTGTAAGCAATCAGCCGTCGACTTCCGCGGAAACCCGGCGGAGAAGTCGAAAACCGGCGGATGGCTCGCCGCCGGTCTGATATTAGGAACAGAGTTATCTGAGAGGGTTTGCGTAATAGGAATCGCCATGAATCTGGTTACTTATCTGGTTGGAGATCTTCACCTTTCTTCCTCCAGGTCTGCTAATATAGTTACTAATTTTATGGGAACGCTTAATCTTCTGGCTCTCCTCGGCGGATTTGCAGCGGACGCAAAATTCGGCCGGTTTCTCACCGTTGCCATCTCTGCCGCCATTGCTGCCGCAGTAATTCACTCATATGCTTTGAGATCTCATATTGATGTTTCTTAATACTGTTTTCTTTTATAATTTATATCCACTTTTTGGGTTATATAAACATTTTGGTTGTAGTAAATGATAGATTTATGGGTATCTGGTGAAAATTTCACCTTGTTCGGACGGTCAATCATCAGGCGTCACATCATTATACATGTTGGCATCAGCGATGTGGTGCTTGGTGTTTGGCCGTTCAGATGTAATAATGTTTTCCATCTAGATGTGTAAACCGCAGGTAATAATTTTTCTAAAAATTCAAGATGTCTGGCTTGTATAAAAAATAAAATATAATATAAAAAAATAGTGAATAAAATAATACTTTTTAAAAAATATTTTGAAGAAACAATTACAGATACTTACAATTTGCCTCTGTTTATTTTCTCCAGGGAACCTGCCTGCTAACAATGGCCACCTCTCTGAGCAGCATGCAGCCACCGGCATGCACCAGAATCCTCCTTCAAGAGCACGAATGCGTGCCGGCGAGCGGCGGGCAGCAGGCCATGCTGTTTGCAGCGCTGTACACGATCGCGGCGGGCGCCGGGGGTATAAAGGCAAACGTGTCGGGTTTTGGGTCGGATCAGTTCGACATGAATGACCCGAAGGAGGAGAAGGCCATGCTTTTCTTCTTCAATAGGTTCTACTTCTGCATCAGCTTGGGTTCACTGTTCGCTGTGACGGTGTTGTTTTATTTACAGGATAATGTGGGGAGGGGATGGGGGTATGGGATATCGGCGGGGGTGATGGTGGCGGCGATGTTGATTTTGTTCGCCGGAACGACGAGGTATAGATTCCGGCGGCCGCAGGGGAGTCCGTTGACGGTGGGGGGGCGGG